TGGTTGTGATCAATACCTGAATGGTTTGTCCCAATTCGATATCGAAAGCCACGATAGCTATACAATAGACCCATTGTTTGAAGCGATCCAACGGCAAAACAGTGGTCTGGAGTCGACTCATATCGTCGGAGCGCTGGTCATCGATGGCGGCGGCGCTCATACGGCGTCTCAGGCCGTCCAACAGCGCCGTCGCCTTCTCTTCGGGCGACGATGTCTTGAGTTCGCCGTCGACGACAACATCGGAGCAGCTGTTGGCCATCAGGTCTTCGTCAGCCATCGATGGTCAGTATTATCAACGCATTCACACCTATTATGTCAACGCTTTGTTACACAGCATTTGTTGCACCTGTGCTTTGGTTTAGTATCACAATTAATAATACAATTTTAATGATTAAAACTAAATTAATTACAACTAATAGTAATTACAATAACAATAATATAATAATAAATGTATAAAAAGTGTTATAAAATAATAGACAATAAAAATGTGTTGTAAATAAACGTCAAGTGATTTAACGCAACAAATAATGGCATTGAAATGCATTGAAAACATTGAAATCTATACACAACTCAATGCCATTCCATAACTGTTTGCCTCCGCTTATGACACAAGCTTTGGCTTCACTGCATAACACCATTTGCTTACTGTATGTCATTTTTATTGGTTGTAAGTGTCGAGCAGTGAAATAGACTGAAGGGGCTGTTTGTCGGTTGGCTGTTGACTATGTGTTACACATTTCATTCAATTAATGAAACGATTAGTTAAATATTGATTTTAAAAATTAGAAATTTATTTTTTAGCACATTTTTAGTAACAAAAACAGAAAAGTTAAGCGAAATTTTAAATTTAGTTTTAATCATAAATTTTGTATTTAAATGAGTAGTAGTTGTAGTCGTTGTCTACCGATCGGTAATAATAATATAAAAATTGGCATTTATTTCGATGGCCAACACATGCGAGGGCTCTGACAGTCAGTAATCGGGAATGTATTAAATGTTGTGTTCATTTCATTACTTCAAACGTTAAAACAATTTCTTTTCAAATCTAATTACAGATGTGTTTAGAGGAGAGAAATGTGAAGACAATCACAGAAATAAAATACAGAAAAATTTTTAGTTCAAATGTTTAGAAAGTTTGGTCCGATTTGTAACTAACGAATAGAGTCCGTGAACTCCGCCCTCGATCTGTGCCGAAGCCGTCCTCTTCTCGAACCGCAATTCTCCGGAATATGTTTTGGTTCTGCAGAGGGGGTGGAGAGGGGGTTGTGGTGGACAATGATCATGGATTAGATTGTGATAAACATTGTTTCAAAACTCAACACTCACTTCATAAGCTCTAGACTACGGATACCCATGTCTTGGGAGCCGTATCTGATCCCAGTTATCAAATACGGCACAAACCGATGAATGGATCCCTTGTCGACAATAGCGCCGGACACTCCCTGTGCCACTCGCACGTCATCGTTCTCTCTGTTAGGATAGTGTGGCAAACAATTGAAACAATAGTCCCGAACCCGTCGGACGCCTTACCCCTGGAAATATCGTTGACGACTCCCCTCTCCGTCCTTCGACTCCATGGCGTCGATAGAACCCATTCCGCGGTATTTCTTGACGCGAACGCCGTTCGAGAAGAAGTAATCGCCGGGCGCTTCGGTAGTTCCGGCCAACATTGAGCCCATCATCACCGCTGAGGCGCCCAACGCCAGCGCTTTAATCACGTGACCCACTGTAGATACACCGCCGTCGGCGATGGTCGGCACGCCTTGCTTTCGGGCGTATTTCGACACCTTATACACGGCTGTGGCCTGCGGTCGGCCGCACGCCATCACCTCCTGAGTGATACATATGGAACCCGAGCCCATACCGATGCGCAGGCCGTCGGCGCCCGCGTCAATGAGATTCTTGGCCTGATTTACTGTTACGACTGATATTGTTTTGGATGAATATAAGAGTGTTATTGAAGTGAATTAATAATCATTTGCTTCTCCTAAATACCATTTCCAGCGATGATCTGTACGTTTGGGAACTCATTCTTCATATACTTAATCATATTTATTTGGAACAGAGAATTGCCTTGAGATGAGTCCTATTGCGGGACACAAACCAAAATAATTATCAATAATTCAATTAAATAAATAAAACACATTTTAAACAAAATTAATAAACGAGTGAATGATTGGAGAAAATATATACCAAAATAACGACATCGACGCCGGCGTCAACCAGTTTCTTGAGCCGCTCTTTGTCGCCATCACGTGTGCCAATGGCGGCGCCGACAAGTAATTGCTTGTTCTCGTCCTTCGAGGCCAACGGGTAGTCGCGGTGTTTCTTGACGTCCGTGCGGGCGATCAGAGCGGTGAGGCGTTGGTCCTTATCGACGATCGGAAGTTTTCCCTTCTTGTTCTTCTCGAGTATATCATTGGCCTCCTGAAGGGTAATGCCGTCGGCGCCGATCACCAGGTGCTGGCTTTTGGTCATCACCGACGAGAGCGGTTCGTTGAGTATGTCTTGGGTTTTGAAGTCAATGTCACGGCTGGTAACGATGCCGAGCAGTTTGCCGCCCAGTTTGCCCGTATCGGTCACCGGAATGCCAGCAAAGCCCCTCTCTTTCTTAATGGTCAACACATCCGACACTTTATTGTTTGGTCCCAACACTAACGGGTCTCTAATAAAGCCGTGTTTGTATTTCTGGCCACAAAACGGCGGATAAAAAGCAAATTATAAATTGTGATCATTTTATCGATGGATAACACCGTAGAGATAGGCTAACACTCGCTATAATATATCGCTGATGACAGCAATTAATTAACTTTAAATCTTCTAATATTTGGACAAATATTAGACATTTATTTCAAATAATGTCCAAATAATGACAGCAAATAATATGCAGAATATTGTGGATCTATTATAATATAAGTATGTAAGCAATATGTGTATCCAAAAACTACTTAAACAATTAATTTGTCAATTAGTATTGAATTAAATATGTCTATCAATAACGCTGTGAACGTTCAAGGCTTTAGGATAAACAACTTTTTCCTAATCGTAAATCAATTAAAAAGATTAAAATTGAAAACACATTAAAATAAGTTCACATTTCAATCGACAAATTGTTTATAAGTTGTATAAATATAATGATTACTGTTTTTTCCAATAAAATCTATAATCAATTCGCTATAAAAATAATTGAAATAATTTGAGATAAATTTTTGAAAAAACACATTCAGATAATTTATCCCTCAATAAACAATTAGTAAAATATAATTGATTGCTCAAGAGTCTTAAGACTGCGACTGTTTGGCACATTGGCCTGGGCCCCCTCCCCTCCATTGATTATATTGTATTTATTCCATTCAAACAGTGATTTCTTAGCACTTCCGCGGCCTGATAATCAGGAGTACAATTGTGGTGAATGATACCAATGCCTCCGCATAACTGCAAACACACAATACAATCATTAATTGCAATCACCAATACTGATGGTCTCAATGGACACCATATACTGACCGCCATAGCGATAGCCATTTCCGATTCGGTTACGGTATCCATGGGTGAAGACACGAGTGGCACTCGGAGTTGAATGCGTTTTGTGAGGTTTGTGGTCAGATCCTATCATAGAGACAACAAACAAAGCAATTATACCATCGATACGGTCTGTATTCACACCGAATGGATGGCCGGGACAATAGGTATAAATTATTGGGTTTGTCACGACCACCATCATCCACATCAACCGCATATACACATAAATACTGACCACATCTTCGGCGCTGAAGTCTATATATCCGGGAAGTACTAAGAAATCACTGTTTGAATGGAATAAATACAGATAATCAATGGTATATCAAATATGAGATGAGGACTAAATGGTCGGTTGACATACTTATAGGTGAGTCCATCTCCGGTGCCGAACAGCTGGTGCGCCGACAGACCATCACAATCGCTGTCGCTGTCGTTATCACAGCAATTCTTGTGACAATTATTCTTCGACATTCTTCGTCTGTGTGTTTGGTCTGCGGATCAGTTCGAGTGATCCGTATATATTAAGCGCACAATTATATGTTAAACCAATTGAATGGACAATTAAATTGATTACATTTACATACAATTAAATTACAAAATAATATACACAACAAAAATAATTGAATTTCTATTAATTTCACATTTATTTCAACTAAAAATGTTTTGTTTGCTTTTAATATGAATCATATTTAATATCAATCACTGCTTTATAGACAAGTGTCCACTGATTTGAGTGCCATTTAAACCGGTTTTATATCAAAAACTAGAGTCAATACGTGTCTCAAATTCACGTGTTTTCTCATTCAATGTTTTGTTTAGTTTTTGAATCAAACAATTTGTTAAGCATTTAAATGACACACAAAACAAACACTCATTTGTTGGGCGCTCTATGCCTGTGCTCTCTCTCTCTCTCTCTCTCTCTCTCTCTC